ATAAATCAAACATTCCAGCTTAAATAAGTAAAAAGAAACTAGGGGCTGGAATGATAGTACGGTGGGGAAGGCATTGGAGACCCGGGTTTGATCCCTGGCACCCCCATATGGTTCCCTGAGCCCTGAGCACAGAGTTAGGAGTAACCCCAGAGCACAGTCAGGTATGCCCCCCCAAAAAAATTAAGTGAAAAGAAGGATAACTCATTATTTAAAACAGAAGAACAGTTAAGGGACAAAAAGAAAATCTTAAAATCAAGACAGTTCCTCCCTGAGCCAGGAGCACCACCCAGGGCGGTCTGAAGTTTTCTCCTCAAGGGTACTTGTTTACAAAGACATTATGAGGTCAGTCACCAACTTCTCAAAGACACCAGTCGAAGAGAGAAGGGAATAACATCTCCAGTGTGCTGAGAGAAAATAACTCTGGAATCTAAAGTTGTGGGCTTTGCAAAATGATGTCTGAACAAGAACGGGAAACTTTCAGATAAACAAAACCTGATACCAATCCATCATGCATAAAACTAGCTGCAGCAGGAAAGGGAATGATTTCAAAAGAAGATAGGAAATTCAGGGGCCTGGAGCGAGAGCACAGCGGGGAGGGCGTTGTCCTGGCACAAGGCCGACCCGGGTTTGATTCCCAGCACCCCATAGGTTCTGAGCACCGCCAGGAGCGATCTCTGAGTGCAGAGCCAGGAATGACCCCTGAGCATTGCCAGGCGTGGCCTCCCCCGCCCCCGAAGCAAAATAAATGAAATTCAGGAGACTGTGGAGGGGAAAACTAAGCAAATAGCATGGGGGTTAAGGTGCTGCGTGGCTGACACTGGTTTGATCCTGGCCTTGCACACGGCCCGGCCGTAAAGCACTTGCCTCGCATGTCTGAGGCTCTGGGGTCAAATTCAGGCGTTGCCAGAATGAAAAAGAAACCTCCAAAACTTCAACTAACGAGGCCCTAGATGTGGTGGTCTGGCGACCCCACGGGCAGTGCCCAGAGTTCATTTCTCCATCTCTGAGGGAAGCGGTTCCCTGCAGTCTCGGTGCTCTGCTCTCTCCAGGTCTACCTCCTTGGAGCCAGACTTCCTGTGTGACCTCAGTGGCCACAGAGTGTCCCCCCCGCCCCCATAGCCCACAGTCGCATGCCAGGCGCCAAGCCAAAACCCACCTATTTTCTCTGCCAGACGGCTGCTGGCCATGGTGGGCAAGGCACAGCCCCCAGAAGCAAGGATGGTCACCAAATGCTGCCAGTGAGGGGCAAATGTCCTGGGGCATTTCTGCATGGCCTCACGGGTAGCTCAGCTCTCAGGGGTGCCCCTCTGCCCATCTCTGCACCCTCCGGCCCCTCCTAAGTCTCCTCTTCCTACTTGGAGGCTGCTGGCTTTTTTTTTCTTTTTGGGTGATGCACAGGGGTTCCTCCTGGCTCATGCACTCAGGAATCACTCCTGGCAGTACTCAGGGGACCCTATGGGATGCCGGGAATTGAACCCGGATCAGCCGCGTGCAAGGCAAACGCCCTCCCCACTGTGCTATCGTTTTGGCCCTATAAAAGCTTTTTTTTTTTTTGCTTTTTGGATTACACCCAGTGATGCTCAGGGGTTCCTCCTGACTCTGCACTCAGGAATTACTCCTGGCAGTGCTCGGGGGACCCTATGGGGTGCTGGGAATCGAACCCAGTTCGGCTGCCTGCAAGGCAAACGCCCTCCCCACTGTGCTAATGCTCCAGGCCCCAGGCTTTTGAGGACAAACACTCCACCCTGGACACAAACACAGGCGCTTACATTTAGAAAAGGAACTTTTAATTCTCCAGATTTCTTGGGACTCAGCGACGCTTCATAGCGCTGGTGCATGGCGCCCTCCCGACGCCTCTTTGGGCTCGGCTTTGAGTCCCCCACTTCATGGCAGGGTCCCCCAGGGCCAGACCGTGATGCATGCCCCAAGGAAACCGAGGAAGGAAGTGGGTGTGGGGAAGCCCTTCCGGTTGAGGGGAGAAGGAATGACGGGGCTGGGGTCGGGGTCCTCAAGCGTCCCGGGTGGTTCTGGTCCAGCCGCCCTCCTTTCTCTGCCCAGGCATTCATCAGAGGACGCTGGTCCGGGTGCCACTGGCTGTCCACAGGATCGCCCTGGCCAGCTCCAAGTCCTCCTACCAGCAGCTATAGTCTTTGGAACAAATGGCCGGTTTCCAGTCCCTTTGCTGCATTTGAGCTTTTGCCACAGTTATGCGTGGACAGAAGTGGATAAAGTGGACAGCAGTGGACGGCAGCAGATGCCAGTGGTTTTGATCTCTGCCGCTGATGCTCTTTGGTGGTGAGAAGCCGGGCACAGTGCTCCGGGGGTCAAGATCGAGAGAGCTACGACTGCATCCCCCCCCAAATTGCCTGAGCGTGAGATGATCTGGTGACCGAGAAGGACGTCAGGATGGTCCTTTCCAGTAGTGCTAGAAAGTGGTGGTGGTCAGGGGTGGGGGGAGATGCCCGGACATATGGGACCCGGGGGTGTGGGCGAGTTTAAGGCAGCGCTAGTTATGGCTTGTGCGGTCCAGCCCTTGCTGCCCAGGCCGGAGACCCTCAGGAAGCCATTTCAGTCACTGCTTCTCCTGCGCTGCTGTTGTCCACAGCATGCAGGATTATTCTGGAAGCTGCAGAGGGCAGGTGCGCCTGGTGGAAAGCTGCCCCAAAGAGACCCGGGAGATGCTGAAGAAACTTCAGGGGCCACCCAGGGACCGAAGGGGGCAAACAGATGAGCCCTGGGCACGGAGGGACACAGCAGCCTGCCCCCCATGAAGAAGGTGTCCATCAGTCCTTGAAAGCTCCATGGAGTCTGTCAGAGAAAGTACAGCTGGGAGACACTTGGTGTTTGCTGACGCCCAGGATCTGCCTTTTAGTTGGGTTTTGGGGCCACACCCAGCGATGCTCAGGGCTCACTCCTGCTCTGCACCTGGGAATCACTCCTGGCGAGCTTGGGAGACCTTACGGGGTGCCGGGGATCGAACCGGGGTTGGCCTCATGCAAGGCAAACGCCCTCCCTGCTCAGGCTCAAGGCTCCACACTTAGACCCACTTTTCTCTCCGGGAGGAAGGAACACTGGAAGTGTAGGTCCCCTTCTCAGGCCTCCGCTGGAATCCGTGATCTGGGCTGGGTGCACTCACATCTGAACCCTCAGCTGCTGATGGGAGTCCCTGAAGGGCAGAGGGGGGCTTGTCCTCATCAATCAGCAGCAACAGCTCACCTGGGAGTGACAGCCAGGTTCCAGAAGGACAAGTCCCTGGCATGAGCACTTCTCGGGAGTCATCGTGTTTACTCTGGGTCTGTGGGCGTCCCATCCAACATCACGGCCGGTGGAGAAGCGAGTGAATGTCGTGATGGGAAGGACTGGACCGAAGGCCTTTCCCCCCTCACCCCCTTCCTCCGCCCCGATCTATACAAATTACAGAAGCCAGAGACGTAGCTTTGGGATTGAGGCAAAATCTCTTTTAGGTAAGGCTGGAAGAGGAAGACAAATAATCACCCTTCAGTGCATCCCCCAAGCCCCAAGCCCTCTAGAGTGGCCAATGACCAGCCCAGGACAGGTCCAGATGGCCCGAGTGGTGAGAAGAATTCGTGGCAAAGTGAAATACAAGGGGCCGGAGTAATAGTACAATGGGTAGGGCTTTTGCCTTGCACACAGCTGACCCAGGTTCGATTCCCTGCATCCCATAGGGTCCCCCGAGCACCGCCAGGAGTAATTCCTGAGTGCAGAGCCGGGAGTCAGCCCTGAGCATCGCAGGGTGGGACCCAAAAAGCAAAAAAAAAAAAAAAAAAAAAAAGAAAGAAAGAAAGAAAGAAAGAAAGAAATACAGGGGCTGGAGCGATAGCACAGCAGATAGGGCATTTGCCTTGCACGCAGCCGACCCGGGTTCCATTCCCAGCATCCCATATGGTCCCCTGAGCACCGCCAGGGGTAATTCCTGAGCGCAGAGCCAGGAGTGACCTCTGTGCATTGCCGGGTGTGACCCAAAAAGCAAAAAAAAAAAAAGAAATACAAACCCCAAGTGGAAAAGTAGGTTTTTGGGGAAGGGAGGGAGGTCTAGACTCACCTTCAAAACGGAAGGAAACTCTATTTTCCTGCCCCCCTCACAATTCCTTCTGTTTTCTTCAGCTGCGTCACGACTTCCTCCCCTTCTTTTAAACCATTCTCAAAAGGCACCAGATGACAACGCGTTGGGGTGCAGCGAGAGGCTGGGTGTGGCGTCCACCAGAGGCAGGTAGGGGGGAGGTGGGAAGGAAGAGGTGAGCCCTTAATGCCCAAGACTCAGACACCAAAGTGAACCGCAGAAGAGAAAGTTTATGTTCTTAGAATGGGGGGAAAAATACTTAGCCAAGCTTCTCAAAAAAGATACATGTGGTTCATTTAGTTCCAGAATGGTCCTGCTTCTTCTAGAACATTCCAGAGTATTCCTGTGGCTTCTAGAATGTTGTAGAGCATTCCGGCTGCTTCTAGAACTGCAAGTGCAAGTCATTTTTTTTGCCAAGGCGTAGCAGGCCCCTGTGTTAAACTGAGCAGGTGCTTCCGGTTTTATTGTAACCATCGTGGTGGTGATACATTTTGCCTGCAGTGGTCTATCCTGGTCACCAAGCAGCCTGCAATTCCTGTGCCTCTCAGTCTGGCACGGGAAGGACAGGCAGGGATCATTTGGGAACCAGAGATTCCTGGGGAATCAGCAGTCCCTCGCTGACTCCCCGGCGGAACTGCAAAAGCAATTTGAGTCCAGCTACAAAGAGGGGAGTCAGAATTCTGCAGAGGAGAAGCCCCGGGGGGGTCTAGAATGTTCTCACAGGCAGTTTTTTTTTTCCTCTGTGAAGTTCCTCGAAGGAGTCAGGAGGGTGCTGAGACTCGGAATCCGCACCCCCCAGCTCAGCCCATCCAAGGCTGACTCCGAGATCTGGCCAGAACACAGTTAGCCGCCCTCTTCCCAGACTGGGGACAGAGCTGTGCCCACGCCTGCTGTCTTCGGGAGGTGCCTAGACCCCCCTGGGGCAGCGAGCTTCTGCTGTCCAGCCTTCTCCACGCAGGTCTTGAAAAAAACCACTTCAGACCACGAGGGACATCCTGGTGGGGAAGTCGTTCTGGGGAAGAGCAGGAGCCCAGATGTTAACCCACACGCACCCCCTACGTGCCGAGCTCAGCGTCCCCCATCCCTGCGGGCGTCCCTCCAGCCAGCCGGGTGATACTTTATTTCTGGGTCACACCTGGTGATAGTCAGGGGTTCCTCCCGGCTCTGCGCTCAGGGATCACTCCTGGCAGTGCTCGGGGGACCCAGTGAGATGCCTGGAATGGAACCGGGGTCAGCCGCGTGCCAGGCCAGCATCCTTCCTGCTGTGCTATTGACTGGCCCCAGGCACGCTGGATTTAATCACTTCCACTGAGGCTTAAAACTGGTTCTTAACGATCTGATCAATATGAAGCAGCGGGCACTAAGCTCTCGGATCAATCAGTCCCACCTGGATGTGAACCATGGGGCTCCCCCTGGACACGAGGTTGAGGACCCTGATTGTCTGCCCCTGGTAGTACGGTTCAGAGGCCCAGATAGCACAGTGGGGAGGGCGTTGGCTTTGCAGTGGCCGCCTGGGTTTGATCCTTGCCCTCCCATAGGGTCCCCAGAGCTATCCCATAGGGTTCTCCAGAGCACCTGGGTGCAGTCAGTAGGAACCCCTGAGCACAGCTGGGTGTGGCCCCCAAACCCAACCCCTCAAAAGAGCCCCTGTTTCCAAGGAGAATGTGCGGGGCTGACTGGACAGGGCAAACCCCCCTACCTCCCCGTAATCCTGGGAAACTGGTGGAGCACACCCAGCTTGCATGCATGTGCCAAGTGGCCCCTTTCCGCCGACTGGGGGTCCCTCCCTGCAGCCCCGGACGGGGGGGGGGGGGGAGGTTCTGGACGCACTGATTTTGGGCCACACCCGGCGATGCTCAGGGGTTCTTCCTGGCTCTGCGCTCAGGAATCACTCCTGGCAGTGCTCGGGGGTCCCTATGGGATGCTGGGGATCAAACCCAGGTCGGCCGCGTGCCAGGCCAACGCCCTCCCCGCTGTGCTATCACTCCGGTCCCAGGGCGAGTGCTCTACTGCTGAGCTCTGTCCCCAACCCCGTGATGAGATTTCTGTTTGACTTTGGAGTTTTGGGGCCACCTCGGGCGATGCTCAGGGCTGACTCCTGGCTCTGCACTCAGGAATCCCTCCTGGAGGTGCTCCAGGGGGACCCTAGGGGATGCTGGGAACCGAACCCCGGGTCGGCCGCGTGCCAGGCCAACACCCTCCCCGCTGTGCCATCGCTCCGGGACCCCTGACCCACCGATTTCTTGCTCGGCTCCTTCTTCCTGCGCTTCTCGGAGCCCGCGTGGAACTGCAGGTCGCGCGCGCTGCGGAACGAGGGGCCGCGGCTCAGCTCGCGCTCGCTGTAGGGCGGCAGCGCATCCTCGGCCGCGTCGTCGTCCTCGTCCTCCTCCTCGTCGTCGTCGTCCTCGTCGTCGTCGTCGCTGTCGCCACGGTGGCGGCCGCCGGGCGGGGACCAGGCGTAGTAGGAGGCGCTGCGCGGGCCGAGACGCGCGCTCAGGCGCGACGGCGTCTCCAGGCTGCCCCCGCGCTCGGCGTTGGCGGCGTCGTCGGGGCGCGGCGCGCGCGCGTAGCGGGGCGCGGGCCCCGGGGTGCGGCTCACCAGGCGCGGCAGGTGCGCGGGCGCGGGGCTGTAGGGCGGCTCGCGCGCGCGCGGGTAGTACTCGCCGTGCGCCGTGTCCGCGCGCTCCAGCCGGCGCGGCGGCGGCGGTGGCGCGTACGAGTCGGTCAGCGCCGCCAGCTCGTCCATGGACACGGCCGGCACCCCCGGCGCGAAGTTCTTCCGCGACAGCATCTCCGACTTGGCGCGCGGCTGGCTGCGGGCGCCGGGGACACGGGTCAGGGCACGAAGGGGGCTCGGACCCAGGACCCGTGGCTGGGGGGACGGGGGTGAGGGGGAGCTGCCGGGAGCGGTACAAGTGCCCGCTGGGGTCCTGGGGTCGGATATGGAGATCTGGGTGCAGGCCACAGCGCCCCTACCAGGCTCAGGGAGGTGAAGGCAACTCAGTTGGGATCTAATGGATCTAAAGAGATCCAACAGACCCCAAGGGATCTGAAGGGAAGCAAAAGGATCTAAAGAGACCAACAGATCCCAAGGGATCTGAAGGGGAGCAAAGGGATTCAAAGAGATCTAACAGATCCAAAGAGACCTGAAGGGGTCAAAAGTATCTAAAGAGACCAACAGATCCAAAGGGACCTGAAGGGGATCAAAGGATCTAAAGAGACCAACAGATCCAAAGGGATCCGAAGGGGATCAAAGGGATCTAAAGAGATACAAAAGGGATCAACAGGACTCAGGAGACCCAAAAGGATGTTAAGGGGATCGAAGGAATCCAAGTGATCCAAAGGAATCCAAAGAGGATCAAAGAGATCCAGTAGACACAAAGGGATCTGAAGGTGATCAACGGGATCTAAGAAATCCACAGGTATTGAGAAGACCCAGGAGATCCAAAGACCTAAGGAAATCAAAGGGATCCTAGTGATCCAAAGGGATCCGAAGAGGATCAACGAGATCCAACAGATCTGAAGGGGACCAAAGGTATCTAAGAGGTCCAAAGGGATCAATATGACCCAGAGGACTTAAAGGGACCCTAAGGGGATTAAAGGGGTCCAAGAGATCTAAATGGGATTCTAAGGGGATTAAAGGGACCCAAGGGATCCAAAGGGATCTAAATGGATACCAATGGACCTGTGTGTCGTCATCCCCCCATCCCCACCCGCCTCCCCGTGGCATCCTCACCTGTGCCGGAAGTTGTCCCTTTCCTCCTTGTCATAGTCCACAGTCGCGGGCCCCCGGCTCACACCACTGCCACCCCCCATGACACTGGTCCAGTAGTCGGGGTTACTCTCCAAGTCCCCGGACACAGGGAAGGGCTTGCTGCGCATCTGGTGGTACGAGTGGCGGAAGCTGCCATCCTCCTCGTGCAGGGAGCTGAGTTCCGAGATGGTGTTGTTGTCTGCAGGGGCAGAGGCGGGCAGGACAGGGTTGGCACCCTGCCCCAGCCCAGGCTGCATGCCGGAAGCTTCCCTGCCTCTGGGTGGGGGTGGGGGTGCTCCAGATTCCCTCCCCTGGGCGCCCTCTCCACCACGGTCCCCCTCTGGTCCCCTCGCAGGCTTCCATGACAACTGTTACAACTAGCTTGTCAGGAGCGGGACATCTGCCTGCCTGCCATTCCAATCTGGAGATGGTCTTTTTATAGCCGGCGTGGGGGAGGACGGCCGCGGAGCAAGGCCGACGGAATGGATTTAGCAGCGCGGAGCGGGAGGACTCTGCCGCTCCAAGTCTGCAGAAAGCACCGCGAGTCTGGAACTGTTTCCCCAACAACTCGGGCGAGCTTCCCACTGGTTCCCGGGGCGGAGGGTGGCGGGGTTCAGAGAGAGAGGGAACCACCTCGTCACCCGGCCTTCTGGCGCCTCTGACAATCAGCCACCCAGACAGTCTCTTGGAATTTCCACGCCAAGAGGGCCCTGGAGAATGTACGGTTGGACAGGACGGTCACTCCAAGGCCCACAGGGAACATCTAGGGCTTCAACTGGTACTTGTTCTGCGCTGGGCATGGACCTGGCATTGGCCGCATACAAGGCGGGTGCCTTCACCCCGTCTATCTATCCCCCTGCCCCCGGCGTTCTCTTCTGAGGGATGGGTCTATGGGAGACTCTTTCACTTTCCCCGTGCAGCGTGGGCAGCTGCAGAGTCCGATGGTGACCCTCTCTGTTGGGGAAAATGGTGCCTAAGCTTCCACGAGGTGGCTTACTATTCTACAAGTGCCCCCCCTTTTTTTGCTTTTTGGGTCACACCCGGTGATGCTCAGGGGTTCCTCCTGGCTCGGCACTCAGGGATCACTCCTGGTCACTCCTGACAGTACTCAGGGGACTCTATGGGGTGCCGGGGATCGAACCTGGGTCGGCCGTGTGCAAGGCAAACGCCCTACCCGCTGTGCTATCGCTCCAACCCCTGCAAGTGCCTTTGTGGGCAAGACTTTCAATCACTGTCCCATACCAAGACTGCACAGTTGGAGGAACACAAGAGGCCCTACAAGCCCAAGAGTCCAGGTTGTTTTCCCCTTCACACCCGAAGCCTTTCTCTTGGTCTTCGGAGCTACTTGTCCCAGGATGATGCCCCCAGTACACCACCGTTCTGGCCCCCAAGTTCGCAGCTACCTGAGTTTGCAAGCGCAGGCCCCAGCCCCCCAGCTGTGAACCCGGGTCCCTCGCGCTCAGGGCAGGAGAAGAGGGACACTCACATCTGCTTCTCATCCTCCGGGCAGGGTCAAACTGCGCCAGCTCCTTCTCCACGTAGTACAAGACCTTCATCGAGTCCCTCTCCTTGTCAGTCTGAATCCGGTACCCTTTGCGCACTGCGGGGTAAGAGGGCCAACAGGTGATGTCGTGGAAAGAACCGGAAGGAGGCGTTTATCGAATCTGCCAACCGGAAACCATGGTTCCCTTTCTCTCCGAACCCCACCACCCTCTGCCCCAGGGAACCAGTGGGAAGGTCGCCGGAGTGGTTGGGGGTCCCAGCTCCAGACTCAGGTGCTCTCAGTTGCTTGGGGTTGGGGGGCCGAACAGACAGCAGGGAGGGCACTTGCCTTGCACAGGGGTCCCCCGGGTTGGGTCCCTGGCATCCTAGATGGTCCCTTGAACCCTGCCAGCAGTGATTTCTGAGTGCAGGGCCAGGAGGAAGCTTTTTGTATTGCCAGGTGTGACCAAATTTAGCACTGTCGCACTGTCTTCCCGTTGTTCATCGATTTGCTCGAGCGGGCCCCAGTAACGTCTCCATGGTGAGACTTGTTGTGTGTATGGCATATCGAATACGCCATGGAGAGCTTGCCAGGCTCTGCCGTGCAGGCGGGATACTCTCGGGAGCTTCCGGGCTCTCTGAGAGGGGCGGAGGAATTGAACCCGGGTCGGCTGTATACAAAGAAAACGCCCTACCCACTGTGCTATTGCTCCAGCCCAATAATAATAATAGTAATAATAATAATAATAGCACTGTAGCACTGTCCTCTCACTATTCATCGATTTGCTCAAGCGGGCCCCAGTAATGTCTCCATGGTGAGACTTGTTGTGAGTGTGTTTGGCATATCGAATACACCACGGGGAGCTTGCCAGGCTCTGCCATGTGGGTGGGATACTCTCGGTAGCTTGCTGGGCTCTCTGAGAGGGATGGAGGACTCGAACCCGGGTCAGCTGCATGCAAGGCAAACGCCCTACCCACTGTGCTATCGCTTCAGCCCGACCCAAATTTAAAAATCAAAAATCATTTGACGGCCTGGAGAGATAGGACAGGGGGAAGGGCGCTGGCCTTGCACATGGCTGACCCGAGTTCGATCCCCGGCCTCCCACAGGGTCCTCTGAGCCCCACCAGGAGTGATCCCTGAGTTCAGAGCCAGGAATCAGCCCGAGCACCGCTGGGTGTGGTCAGAAAAGCAAAACAAAAGAAAGTATGGCATTTGCTTCTAAGTGCTTCCTAGGAACCCGCCCAGCAATGGCCATCAATATTTATACAGAAGGAGTCAGAACCGCAAATCCCAGAAGCCGATTTGGGGTGGAGAGAGCTGTGGGCCCGTTTTAGTCCTTTGTCAACCTCAGCTTCCTGCCCTCTGACCTCTCAGGTCCCTCCCAAAGTGGGGCGTGATTTACAGGCATGAAAACCAGCTTCGAGGGGCTGGAGTGATAACGGGTAGGGCGGGTAGGGCGTTTGCCTTGCACGCGGCCGACCCGGGTTCAATTCCCAGCATCCCATAGGGTCCCCTGAGCCCCACCAGGAGTGATTCCTGAGTGCAGGGCCAGGAGGAACCTCTGAGCATCGCCGGGTGTGACCCAAAAAGTGAAAAAAAAAAAGCAAAAAAAAAAACCCAACCCAGCTTCTAGACCAAGCATGCAGAGGCGGAGGACCCCACTTCTGGTGGGGCCACGGGTCACTCCCCCAAACCTCAGAGTCTCCAAAGAGGGGACCCAGACACCGCTGGTCGCCCCGGGGAGACGGCGGGAGCTAAGATTAGCAGTAGAGGCGCTCGGCAGGACGCAGGCCCCGCGCCCTGGTTTGTTTCCTGAGCGTTTTCATTTTAGGAAAGGGAACGCGTGTCACCTCTGAGGGGTGGAAGGCGACCTGCTGCCCTGCGCACGCAGGTGCTATTTTCAGGGCGGAAGTGAAAAGGAAAAACAAGGCGAGGGCAGGAGAGAAAAAAATGGTATCGCTTCCCCCCTCCCTCCCTTGGCTCTTCGGAACAAAGCCTGGTCTCGCTGCAGGATCAGGGGGCTCCGATGCCCGTCCCCACGGTGGCTGGGGGGAGGGGAGAAGGCAGGGGGCATATCAGGAAGGGAAAGAAGGGAAAGAAGAGGGACAGAACAGCCACGGGAGGCAGAAGACACGGGCGCCCAAAACGTCAGGGCCAAAGGGTCTCACCCAGTGTCTCCCAGGGGACGTTTCTCCACCCTGAAGGCCACTCCTGTCTCTCGCCACACTCATGGCTAGGAAAGCTACTCAGGGGCGTCCTCAGGAGCCCCTGCCAGGGCAGGGCTGGACCCAAGCCACCGCATTCACACACGGCCTAGTGGATAGTTGGCCTCTCTGTCATAGCACTGTCATCCTGTCCGTTGTTCATCGATTTGCTCGAACGGGCACCAGTAATGTCTCCATGGTGAGACTTGTTGTGACTGTGTTTGGCATCTTGAAGATGCCACGGGGAGCTTGCCAAGCTCTGCCGTGCAGGCAGGATACTCTCAGTAGCTTGCCAGGCTCTCCAAGAGGGGTGGAGGAATCGAATCCGGGTCGGCCTTGTGCAAGGCAAACGCCCTACCCGCTGTGCTATCGCTCCAGACCTCCTGTCATATAGAAGAGAAATCCAGACAGGAAGACCCCAGAGGTGCCCCACTGGCCTGGGAGTACTTCACAGTTACCCAGGGGCACTCTTGTATCCTCTGCACCCAAAGCTGGACAAATGTCCCCGAGAAGTCACATGATCGCTTGTAGCTTTGGCTCTGTCCTGCGTTCCTTCCACGACCAGGCACCCCTGGTCAAAGGCTCTCTCATGAGTTTGGTGCTAAAAGACGAACTTGAATGGCTACAACAGTCCAGGATCTCAGGTGTGCCCCATAGAGGAGCCTCCCAGAGGTTGAACCCCCGATCCATACATGAAAGCAATTCTTATTTTTTTTCTTTTTGGGTCCCACCCAGCGATGCTCAGGGGTTCCTCCTGGCTCTGCACTCAGGAATTACTCCTGGTGGTGCTTGGGGGACCCTGTGGGATGCTGGGAATCGAACCCGGGTCAGCCGTGTGTAAGGCAAAAACCCTACCTACTGTGCTATCGCTCCAGCCCCTATTATTCTTGGTTTTTTATTTTTTTTATTTCTTTTTGATTTTTTGCTTTTTGGGGTCACACCCGGCGATGCTCAGGGGTTCCTCCTGGCTCTGAACTCCGGAATCACTCCTGGCGGTGCTCTGGGGACCCTATGGGATGCTGGGAATCGAACCCGGGTCGGCTGCGTGCAAGGCCAACGCCCTCCCCACTGTGCTATCGCTCCAGCCCATGGAAGCACTCATTAGCAGGGAGGTTTCATTTCTCCAGTCCTGTGTGCGCCCACCCCTGCAGATGCATTTCCAGGGTAGTATAGACAGTTCAATTAAAACGAGAACTGCTCAGTCTGTTCCCAGGCGGTTACGGGGTTGGATGACTGGATGGAGGACTCGGATGCCTGCAAAAGCAGCCATAGTTTATCAGAGGCCTCAAAGAAAATGGGGGAGGAGTGCTCCCCACCCTTTCAACACCCTTGCGGAGAAGCAGAGATCAGCTCTGCAGACTGCATTAAGTTCTTGGTGATTATTAGGGACAACGCTCCGGTCAACCCAATCTATGGGCTTTTTTTTGATTCCAGCAGTTGCACAAAATTTCTCTGTCTCTGTCTCTCGCCCTCCCTCCTCTCAACTTACAAATACAAATCACAAATCAAAATTCACTATTAACTTTTTTTTTTTGCTTTTTGGGTCATGGGTTGGAGCGATAGCCCACTGGGTAGGGCGTTTACCTTGCACGCAGTTGACCCTGCCGACCCGGGTTTGATTCCTCCGCCCCTCTCGTAGAGCCTGGCGAGCTATCGAGAATATCTCGCCCGCACGGCAGAGCCTGACAAGCTCCCCGTGGTGTATTCAATATGCCAAACACAGTAACAAGTCTCACAGTGGAGATGTTACTGGGCCCGTTCGAGCAAATTGATGAACAACTGGAAGACAGTGCAGTGCAGAGCAGTGCTTTTTGGGTCACACCTGGTGATGCTCAGGGGTTCCTCCTGGCTCTGCACTCAGGAATCACTCCTGGCGGTGCTCGGGGGACCCTATGGGATGCTGGGAATCGAACCTGGGTCGGCCACGTTCAAGGCAAATGCCCTCCCCGCTGTGCTATCGCTCCAGCTCACTTTTAACTTGTATCTTAAGTGCTTCCATATTTCAATTTGCCTGCATCGTCAGTGTTAAGTGTCTGGTCTTCCCAAAGAGACTTCAGGGGGAAGAGCCTTTGCATTCCAGATCACTCTGGATCCATGTAAAGTCCAGGGTCCATGGCAGGCACTTCGGGCATTGTGAAGTGGAACTGTCACCAGAATGGAGAACTCTTTGACATGTGGTGACATTTTAATAAGTAATGTCCCAGACTGTTGGCTACATTCCAGACTCAAGAGAAAACTTCTCAGGGCTGGAGCAATAGCACAGCGGGGAGGGCGTTTGCCTTGCACGCGGCGGACCCGGGTTCGATTCCCAGCATCCCATAGGGTTCCCCAGTACCTCCAGGAGTGATTCCTGAGTGCAGAGCCAGGAGTAACCCGTGTGCATCACCAGGTGTGACTCACAAAGCAAAAAAAAAGGAAAGAAAACATCTCCCACCACATACCCCCCATCCCTTTTCAGCTCAGGGAGATTCATTTCTCTTTACAAGTGTTTTCCAACCTAAGCCCTCTAAACTTCAGCCCCTCTTTGGTACCATTGGCCTCCACAACCTGGATTTTGCTGAGAACAGACACCGGGATATTCACTTGAGTGCCAAATTTGAACTTCAAAAACATCTTTCTAGTTCAAGGATCTGAGCTGATATTTTGGTACATATGCTGCCAAAGTAAGCACAGAGCTGATATTTTGGACCCGACGAAGGCTCAAGTATTTTTTCCCCCACAAAATCCCCCCTTTTAGCCAGAGCTAACATCATAAAGCCTGCAAGAGGCCTGAATCTCCAGGACCACCATCCACGGGGAGGGCCTGGTTCTCCCGTTCAAAGCGAGCTCAGGGAGTCTGTTTATGGAAGACGAAACAGCTGCAAGGTCTGTCTCAGGGTGGAAAGAACTCAGCAGTGGGAGAAGTGATGCTTAAAATTTGCATTTTTTCCCTGTCTACATACAGTAAGACATATATATATATATATATATATATATATATATATAGAGAGAGAGAGAGAGAGAGAGAGAGACAGACTTGCAACCTTTACTGGTTTGGAAAATGACATTTCAAACCCTACCTGACAACTCCATTCTTGCAAGAAGAATCAGTGGTCGTTAGGTCATTGGGGAGAGAAAGTGGATAAAAACAAGGCAGGAGCCGAGGTGACTAAAATAAAGGGCGGGGGGAGAGGGGCTAGGAAAAGGGGCCGGAGAGATAGCACAGTGGGTAGAGCACTTGCCTTGCACACAGCCAAGCCCCATCATGAATAACCTTGGCCATCACTGGATGTGGCCCCCAAGTAAAACAAAAACAAAACAAAACAAAAAAACAGGGAGGGAAAATTCCTACTGGAATGTCTCAAGAGAGAAGAAAGGGCCAGAAATCAGGAATAAGAGAGCTGAACTGGAGGTGGGTGGGGTGAAAAAACTAATTCCAGGCCATTTTGAGGTACAACCTGTATAGCACAGCGGGTAGGGCGTTCGCCTTACAAGCGGCCAACATGGCCGACCCGAGTTCGATTCCTCCGCCCCTCTCGGAGAGCCCGGCAAGCTACCGAGAGTATTCGATATGCCAGACACAGTAACAACAAAGTCTCTAATGGAGACGTTACTGGGCCCGCTCGAGCAAATCGACGATCAACGGGAGGGCCTTTACCTTTACCTTTACCTTTGAGGTACAACCTGAAGGACTCTTGGTGACCAATTGCACGAGGGAAGTGAGGTGAGGGAGAGACAGAGAAAGTTTTGGGGACTGGAGTGATAGCACAGCAGGGAGGGTGTTTGCCCAGCACGTGGCTGACCAGGGTTCGATCCCCGGTGTCCCATAGGGTCCCCCGAGCACCATCAGGAGTGATTCCTGAGTGCAGAGCCAGAAGGAACCCCTGAGCATTGCTGGGTGTGACTCCCCCCACCAAAAAAAAAAAAAGCCAAGTCTTGGATATTTAGCAATTCTTTCAATTTTTCTTCGGCTTACTCCTCACTTCCATTTGATTTCCCCACTCCAAATCCCAGCTGTGGCCAAGGGGACTTCCCCCCCCCCTCTTTTTGGGTCACACCCGACGATGCTCAGGGGTTCCTCCTGGCTCTGCACTCAGGAATTACTCCTGGTGGTACTCGGGGGACCCTATGGGATGCTGGGAATTGAACCCGGGTCGGCCGCGTGCAAGGCAAACACCCTCCCCACTGTGCTATTGCTCCAGCCCCCAAGGGGACTTTCTTGCTGGATCTCATGGGTCCTTTTCCATCCCTCCATCCTGGACCTCTCAAGAATCTCTCACTGTCCCCCTCCCCATCCTTCCTCCCCCTTCACCCCCCACCCAGTCATCGCTCTCTGTCCTCAACACTATCACTGGGTGGTTTTACACAGTCATCTCAACTTGGGTCCTGTTTCGTGTGGGACCCTGGAAAATCTCACCTGGGGCCGGAGAGATAAGAGTGAGTCAGGGAGGGCGTTGGCCTTGTACGTGGCCAAGCTGGGTTCGATCCCATCCCTGGCAACCTAATGAGTCCCTAAATATCCAATTTGCTAGCAGTAGAAACAGGAAGGGGGGAAGTCACTGTCCTCTAAAAGATGTCATTTTCTTTTTCTTTTTTTTAGGGGGGGGGTTACACTGGCGATGCACAGGGGTTACTCCTGGCTCTGCACTCAGGAATCACTCCTGGCGGTGCACAGGGGACCCTATGGGATGCCGGGAATCGAACCTGGGTCGGCCGTGTGCAAGGCAAATGCCCTCCCTGCTGTGCTATCGTTCTGGCCCCAAGAAGTAATTTTCTTATACTGGACCAAGTGATGGGGAATTATGGTGGGGGAGGAAGACGGGGGGGCACAGGGAGCAACAGGGGCGGGAACCCCCATCCACACCCCTTCTCCAAGTGTGGTCGGGGGCAGCCCCTATAACTATCTCGCACACATTCCGTGACTCAGCAGTTCTCCGACAACGACGTCAGAATTTCACTAATAGCTTCAGGGAGGCGTGGACACGAGAACCAATGACTCACAGAGGACAGCCAGGCTGGGGTGTGGGGGGGTGGGGACCAGAGACCAGGTGGGAGCGGGAGGCAACTTCCACCCGGGGCGCTGCAGCGGGAGGCGCCTGTTTCTCCCACCCTCGAGGCTCCTCAGAATTGAAACGTCAGCTCCTGGGGGAACTCAGGAATCGGGCTCGGGCCTAGCACCCTGCACCAGTGACCCCCCAAGCATTGCTCGAGTGGGCCCAGAGCAACAAAAATAGATGCGTCTTCTCGCTGTCCCACTCTGGCGGGCTGCCACCACGGCTCCTCAGCATCCCACTGACCGAACGAGCGTCACACATTTCCCAGGCCCCCGGGGGCCACCTGTCACCCGTCGCGGTGCATCTGCCGCCTCCCCGTATCCCTCAGCGCGCTGCCGAGAGGCTCCCGCTTCTCCTGATTCCCGTGGGCTCCTCCGTTCTCCGTGTGCCCCCCAGCCCTGTCTCAGCGGGCGACCCCTGCCTCCCGCATCTTCCCCAGCTCCCCCTCCCCAGGGCTGTGCCGGCCTCGCTCACTCCCAGCCTTCACCTGCTCTGAGCAATCCAGCAGGGGACTCTGAGCTTGGGACCCCACCCTTGAGCCCCTCACAACCCCCCTCCTGCCCCCCCCCCCCGTGTTCCGAAACAGCGGGCAGGGAGGGGTGATGTTGGACTGCGCGCCATGCCACGCCCCTTCCTCCCGTCTCAGGACTGTCTCGCACCCCGGGACAGTGGGAGGAAACACGAGGATGTAGGGGCTGGGAGGATGGGGTGGGGTGGGGTGGGGGGGCGTCGGCTGCATTTACCACTGTGGCTCCCGATGGAGTCGCTGGGGGCCAGGGGCGGTGGGTGCGGCTTGTCCATCAGCATGCTGGAGGGGGGCGCTCCTGCCAGGGGGACGGAGGGGATGGAGTAGGGGCCCGGCACCCCCGAGATGGAGGGCGGGTACCCGGCCTTCGCGGCTTTCCCTGCTTCATACACTGCAGAGGGAGAGAAGAGCAAGGAGAGGTGAGCGTCTGCCGGTGCCCTCAGTACCCAGGGGCATGTGTGTGACTGTGTGCATGGGCCACGTGCCCAAGCGCATGCACGTGCCCACACAGGGACACACATATGTACACAGCCTGTGTCTGCAGTGCTGTATGTACAGATGTAATGTGAACACATGTACGTGCCAGTGTGCAGTGTGTATGTAGCTGTACGCATGCTGTTCTGTGTACATGTGTGCGTGAACATGTCCATACATGTGTCTTGTGTGCATGTATGTACCCATGCATGTAGTCTGTATGTGTATATATGTACCCATGCATGGGTGTGCGTGTATATTCCTATGCATGTGTCTGTGTGCACATGTATGTACCCAGCATGTGTGTCTGTGTGTATGTAACCATGCATGTGTGTCTCTATGTGTGCATGTACCTATGCATGTGTGTCTGTGTGCATGTGTACCCATGCATGTGTGTCCGTGTGTGCATGCATGTTCCCATGCACGTGTGTTTGTGTGTTCATGTATGTACCCATGCATGTGTGTCTGTGCATGTGTGTACCCACGCATGCGTCTGTGAGATGTGCTGGATTCCTCGGCCACTTCCGCCGTTCTGCAGCCCCCCAGCTCTGCTCACGGCACCCCCAGGGGAATCCAGGCAGCGACGGCAACAGCCCCCAGCAGCCCCCCTCGCCGACATGGCCACAGGGTGGGTCCCCCACGCCCAGCCCCTCTTCTCCAGAGGCCCAGCAGCCGGGCAGAGGGCTAGCCGTTCTGCCCTCACCCACCCGTCTTGCCCACTCCAGGCTGGGCTGGTCACATCCAGCAGGAGCCCCGCCGGGGGGGAGGGGAGTCCCCTGGGGCTGACCCTGGGCCCAGCACCCTCTGCCTGTGCTGCCTCCTGTCTGGGGGTGCGGTCCCACCCGCTGTGCAGACACCCCCCTTCCTGCCATCATGTGTATGTACCCATGCATGTGTGTTTGTGTGTGCATGTATCATGCATGTGTGTATCTTCTTATGCATGTGTGTCTGTGTGTGCATGCATGTACCTATGCATGTGTGTCTGTCTGTGTATATATGTATCCATGCAGGTGTTTCTGTGCATGCATGTACCTATGCATGTGTGTCTGTGTGTGCATGTATGTATCATGCATGTGTGCATGTATATTTCTATGCATGCATGTCTGTGTGCATACATGTACCTATGCATGTGTGTCTGTGTGTGCATGTATGTATCATACATGTGTGTGCATGTATATTTCTATACATGTGTGTCTGTGTGTACATGCTTGTACCCATGCATGTGTGTCTGTGTGCATGCATGTTCCTATGTATGTGTGTGCATATATGTATTCATGCATGTGTTTCTGTGCATGTATATATCCATGCATGCGTGTCTGTGTGTGCATGTATGTATCATACAGGTGTGTATACTTCTATACATGTGTGTGCATGTATGAACCCATGCATATGTGCATGTGTGCATGTATGTACCTATGCATGTGTGTCTGTGTATGTATGTACACATGCAGAAGGACTGCAGTGGACAGGAAACATGGGGGCCGATGAACACCCCCATGAAACATGGGGGACCCTGCTCCGAGCAGGCCTGGGGATGCTGGCCTCCAGGCCGGGGGGCAAGGGAAGGGACACTCACGGGCCTGCGGGCAGCAGCAGGTGTCCGGGCAGCAGGGGCAGCGGACATAGCAGCAGCAGCTGTGCGGGCAACACTGGCACCAGCAGATCCCCACGAGCACGCAGAGGAGCACGAATCCCAGGACCACCAGGCCCACGAACACCCACTCTGCAGAGATGCACAGGAAGCCGCGCTCAGGGCCAGCCCCTGAAGGCCACCGTCGCCTAGCTGCCCCACCCCCATCCTGGGGGCCGGGGACATCAGGGGCCCTCCTGGGAAATGAAGGAGCAACTTGGCAAGAGGCAGCTGCCTGTCCCATGAGGGGAGAACGGGGTTCTCGGGGAGACACTGCTGGCCGGGCCCCGATGGACACAGCGGGTTCTGGGGACACGAATCTCTCATCTGTGGAAAGTGGGACCTTGAGGAAATGCTTCCTGGGCCCCGTCAGTGTTTCTCAGGACCCATGAGGCACCGCATGAAAATCTTTCCTGTTTGTAGTAGGCTGCGGCCCAGCACCACCCCACTGAGGCCCGGGGCACACAGAGAGGGGGACTGTCCCCGGCCCCTGGGCGCACTGGAATGGGGCACTCCTGGGCCAGCATAGGCTCAAGGGGTGGCAAAGTGGAGGGTACTGCAGACACATCCACTGGGCTGGGCCATTGTCACAACCGAAGAGAAAGGAATCCAGATCTACTCAACTCGGGAGGAAAGGGGGTTGACGGCGTGGCCCGAGTGACTTGTCTCCAAGTCACAGTTTGGGGACAAGCTTCAAGTCCAATTTTTTTTCCAGCATCCCTTCCCGTAAGGGCCCCGAGCTTGCCAACAGGTCGCGTGATGAAGGTTCTGGAGGGCAGAGGAGGAGGAGGAGGAAGAACTTTCTAGAACCTCCCCTAGCTCTCACTGACAGATTCCAATGAAGCCCCCCTCCTCCTCTTTGGCCCCCTTCCAAGTCTGGGGTGTTCTCGCTGAGGGAGGTGCTTTAGCAGTGATATGATAAAACAATAGGTCCATGCACACAAGACACCACTAGCCCCCAACTCCAAGATTAGCTGGTTCGGGTGAGATACTCCCTGCTCCAGCATTTAGAATAAAAACAGATTACCTTGGAGGAAAAAAAAGAAAAAGAATTATGAAGGGGTCCTTGGAAGCTAACAGGGAGGCGAAAACAGATAAGAAAAATACAGTTAATTCTTGATATGGGTTGGGAGAGACAATGGCTGACCTAGTTTGAAGTCAATGCCATGAAAAACTATTTTAAAAAATTGTATGAGGGGCTGGAGTGATAGCACAGCGGGTAGGGAATTTGCCTTACACGCGACTAACCCAGTTCGATTCCCAGCAATCCATAGGGTCCCCCGAGCACCGCCAGGAGCCAGGAGGAACCCCTGTGCATCACCAGGTGTGACCCAAAAAGAAAAAAAGAATAGTATGAGGAGAAAATTTAGACAAACTTGAGGCAACTTTGGACCAGGGACAAGGAGGTGTCCTTGGGTTCAGCACCAAGACAGGGCAAGGGCCGTGCAGGTGTTTGGTTGGTCTGCAAAGGGCAAAGGGCCAGTCGAGCCCGAGAGGACTCAGGCCGGCAGCCTGGCTGTGAAGATTCTGGAAGTTTTTTTTTGGGGGGGGTTACACCCCTGGCTCTGCACTCGGGAATTACTCCTGGCAGCATTCAGGGGACCATATGGCATGCTGGGGATCGAACCTGGGCTGGCCGCATGCAAGGCAAACGCCTTAACGCTGTGCTATCGCTCCAGCCCCATTCTGGAAGTTTCTTAAAACCTGAACTGAATCAAGAGCAACTACAGCTTTTGAGAGCTAGAGATTCTCTCTCCCTTTCCCCCCTCTCTTTCCCTCTCTTTCTCCGTCTCTCTTTCCTTCTCTTTCCCTCTCTCCCTCCACCCTTCTCCCCCCACCTGCACAAGCTGCACAAGTTCTGCACAAGTTCTTTTTGTCTGTTTTTTTTGGGGGGGGCCATACCTGGTGATGCTCAGGGCTGACTCCTGGCTCTGCACTCAGGAATCACTCCTGGCGGTGCTCGGGGGACCCTATGGGATGCCGGAGATCGAACCCGGGTCTGCCACGTGCAAGGCAAACGCCCTCCTTGCTGTGCTATCGCTCCGGCCCCTTTAAGCATGTCCTAAACTGATGCATCCCACTTAAACTGCTTCAGAGAGCAGAGATGATGTTTGGAGCAGTTGTCCTGGAACTATGATCCCCAAGGATTTGCTGGGGGGTGATGAGAAGAGGCAAGTCCCTGAGATTATATGCAGAGCACTAGGGGGTCTTTTAAAACAAAACAAAACAAAAAAAGAGAAGGCAGGGGGGTGGCAGAACCATAGTCCAGCAGGGAGGGCGTTTGCCTTGCATTCAGCCAACCCGGGTTCGGGCTCCAGCATCCCATAGGGTCCCCCAAGCCCCGCCATGAATGATCCCTGAGTGCAGAGCCAGGAGCAACCCCTGAGCACTGCTGGGTGTGACCCTAAAAGCCAAAAATAAATTAATTAATTAAAAAGGAGCAGGGAAGCCCCACAAACACAAACTCGAAATGATGCTTTGCCAGAATGATAAACTGGAGCCCGCATGGCTGTTTCCTCGTAGGGAGAGTGAGGCTCCAGCAGAGACGGCCTTGGCAAGAATTCTGACGGGCCTAATACTGAAGTTCAGGGACCCCCAGATCAGCCCTATTTCTTTCTTTCTTTCTTTCTTCCTTTCTTTCTTTCTTTCTTCTTTCTTCTTTCTTCTTTCTTTCTTTTTCACACCTGGAGATGCACACGGGTTACTGCTGGCTCCACCCCCCCCAAAACTCTGGGCTGACTCCTGGCTCTGTGCTCAGGGATCACTCCAGCCGGGGCTCAGGGGCCCTAGGGGATGCTGGGGATCGAACACTGGTCAGCCGCACACAAGGCCAACGCCCTCCCCGCTGTGCTATCGCTCCAGCCTATTGCTGAGGTCCCTTATCCTGGTACCCCGAAGTCATCAGGAGAAACGCCTTCTCCCCAGGCTCTCCCGAGAGACTTAGCTCACCCCAGAACAGACGAGAGACACACACGCACACAAACGGGCACAGACAGAACAGACACAAGCATGTGAGTGAAGTCCCGGATAGGCTAGACGGAGACGCAGCAGACGAAGCCCACAGAGAGTGAAAGCAAGGAGGGGTACCTGGCATAACTTCCACAGCGAAACTGGGCAAGAGGTCAGCAAGCAGCCCTGTCCTGCCTAGGGGTGAAGGAAGAGAAGAAGGAGAAGAGTTACTGCAGAGGCCAACAGCAGAGAGCCCGACGCAGGAGCTAACGGATGCGGGATCCAGGGGTGGGAGGCAGGGAATGGCCTGCCCGTCTGTCCGTCACTGGTGGCCACTACCCCTGAGCAGGGGCAGAGCCAGAATTTTCTCTCCGACTCTCTGTTTTGGAGACCATGCGCTGGGCTCAGAGTGGCAGACGGGCACCGTCTCGCTCTCTCTCTCTCTCTCCCTCCCCACGCGTCGGGGCGGGAAGGCCAACGCTTGTGTCCAAACGCTCAACCTACATCTCCACCCGGGTGCACACAGTCCCGTGTCCGTGTGAAAACAAAAGCACACATTTGGCGCGAAGTCACCCCTCGCCGTGACGCTATATTTAGCTGCCCGTGATGAGAAGCTTCTAGAAGCCAGAAAGTGCGAACCGCCGCACGCCCCGTCTCTCCAGCCCATTGGCATGTGCTTGATGCTTTCACCATCTGCTACCCACAGCTGGTCCCAGAGGGACCCGAGAACCTCCTGCGTGATATGACACAGGGCGGGGTGTTCCCGCGGCTCTGCACGGATCTCGAGAGCACCCCGAAGACACCCCTCCTCAGCACAGGGCCAGGAGTAGCCCCGGAGGGCCACAGCATGGCCCCCACACAAACAAAAAAACCCCGAAAGAACAAAGAATTGTGAGGGTGGAAGGAATCTGAGGGACTGTGCTAGAATGCAGGCAGAGATTTTCCGCAGGTTTTCTGTGACAACTCGGACGGCAGCAAACCTAGTGGATTCAAGGGATAATTTTATTTCATAAATTCCTTTTGCTTCCGGCGTGAACAGCCCCTGAGAATGGCCCTTGCCAGCAGCTCCGCGCTCCCGAATCCCGTTCCTGTGTTGTCATTTCCAAGGAAGGGCTGATGCTTCCTAGTGCTCTTGTGTCACTGTCACTCTTCTAGGATTCGGTCTCAGCTCTGATGTCTGAGAAGGGGGGCGGGGCTGCCTTGAGATTTTCCAAACCGCCACTCAGACTCAGGCAACGCCCAGGGGCGCTGTGCACCATTCAGCGCTTTGTAACCCCAAATCTTGCATAATCTACTCAGAATAAATTTCCACCTGAACAGACCCAGTGAATCAGGCCTACTAAGCAAATGTATGCACACTCATACACACACACACACACACACACACGCATGCACGCATGCACGCACATGCACACACACGCACACGCACATACACTACACATGCACACAGGCACATACACACATGTAGACATACACACACATGCACACACGCACACACATAAACACATGTACATGCCCATGAGTTTCATACCACACTACTGTGGCCAAATTTTGCACTCTTGGGGGGGCGGAGATGAGGCAGACTGTAAATTCAACCGCCTCCATCTCTTCCCTTCCTCCCTTCCTCCCTCCCTCCCTCCCTTCCTTCTTCCCTCCCTCCGTCTCTTACCTTCCTCCTTCCTTCCCTTCCTTCCTCCCTTCCCTCCCCTTTGATTCTTTCCTTCCTTCTTCCCTCCCTCCTTCCTTCCCTCCCTCCCTCCCTCCCCCTCTCCTTCCTTCCTTCCTTCCTTCCTTCCTTCCTTCCTTCCTTCCTTCCTTCCTTCCTAGCTTGCTCCTCCTTCCTTCTTTCCTTCCTCTCTCCTGCCTTCCTTCCTCCTTCCCTCCCTTCCTTCCTGCTTTTCTGGACCACACCCAGCAACGCTCAGGGCTTACCCCTGACTCTGCGCTCAGGGATCACTCCTGGCAGTGCTCACGGGACCTCTATGTGGTGCCGGGGGTCAAACCCGGGTGCACCGCGTGCAAGGCCAGCACTTGCCCCGCTGTACTATCACACTGGCCCTCCGGAGCTTCAATCCAAGCTCCGGTGGTTAGCGGCAGCCTTCCGGGGTCTGGATTGAGGACCGTTTCGGACAGTTCTGCTTCCT